TCCACCTCTGCCTATAGACAACTATTTACAGATATCTCTTACTGCAAGCTCACTAGCTGTCTTGCGTCAATGCAAATGCACTGTTTCCTTTAGTTACAAGATATTGGCAGAAAGAACCGTGAAAAAGAGTGACTAATTATACTTATTTTTATTATTACAGCTGAACCTTTGCAACTTCAGTTTATCTGGCTTAAACAAGCATGTATAATATGAATATTATTGACCTTTTCCCATTATTTTTCAAATTGTAGTCTCATGCAGGGGAGAAAGGGAGCCTTCTTCGGAACACTTCTGAAACTGCTTCAACATTGAATGTTAAAAGGCTGTTAACTATTTTAAATGAAATTTAATGTGAAGTTGTCTGAATCAAACTAATTATAGTTGGCTGTAGTCACGCATAATCGTGACGCTCACGTCCAAGTCACGTCGAAACTCATACACAATTGACACACAAAATTCTTATAATATTACGTAAATTTCAACAGTTAAACAAAGTTAAACTGTCAAGACTTCATGGGGGCTAAATGACATAAACAGTGATATCAATAGGGGGGGAGATGGTGGGGGCGAGATGACCGGTAACGCCACTAAGAACCGCTGCAAGGAGACTATGCAAATTACTGATTATCATTAATTATAGTATCATATCAAGAATGGAAATGTGTCATACCATCCATGTAGTATTGTTGGTGAAAGGAGCCATATCCCACTGAAGGTTTCCCTGGACCTTTTGCATGCTGTAGATATGACAGGTGGTTAGAATTTACCAGGCATCTTGAAGGTTGAAGGAGGTTATACCTCAGTGTAACAGGTAGTAATTTCTGAGGGTTAGTACTCTAAAAGGCCCATTTACACTTAAGATTTTTGAAGAGTGATTGTCATGGTGATTGTCGCGCTATCATAACCTAAGTTTGAAATTTAGATGCAACCTCGCAGGGCTGTTTACATGTACAATTTTACGTGCGCAATAGCAAAGCGAGCTGCAAATTTTTTTTTCCAATTCTAAATATTAAATACTTACTTGTAATGGAGAATCAATAAGAAATCTTTGAAACTGAAAATTGAAATAAATATGTGACTGTATAATTATATTAATATGTCTTCATGGTTACCTGTAGGTGAAATCTCTCAATTGTTCAGTATAAGAGATTTTTTCAAGACTCTAAAAGCTGATTTACATGGTACGATTGTCAAGTACGACTAGTAGTATCCGACTCAAATGAGCTTCAAATCAAGCTGTGTAAATGCTCCTGTGGCTTGCCTTCAGCATTCGACACAACCTATAACTTTTAATAGGATTTTGAAGCATGGTTCAAGTCGTAGGTTGAGTATGATTTTGAACTACAACTTAAAATCCTAATATGACTTATTGTAGGAAAATCATATACTGCAAGACAGATGTGACAATTGTGCCATTGTAAATTGGCCTTAAGACAAAATCTGCATCTCTGTCCACGCAAGTAATATCTTCTATTTGATAAATGAAAGGGGAAATG